AGGGAGAGAGAGGGAGGGAGTGGGAAGGATATAGAGGGAGGGAGTGACCGATCCTGGACACTTCCTTGAGCCACCCTTGATACAACAGGTTTCATTTACGAAGAATGAAAGTCCATTACTTATCGACAGCCGTTTTGACGCAATTACCTAATTGTAAATTACTACTATTTTGTGCGTTTCTGATTGAGAAATCTGTAGTTTTTTTCAACAAGTTTTTTTCGGAGTCGCGTGTGAGAATCATGTTATAATACTCGTTTAGATCCGTTGCTCTATATTGATTTGTACACGAAGGACGAGGTAGTTCCACTATCACTCGTATAAACGCGTTGATCTTAGACATTACGATTAAAAATTGCGGAAAGAATGCATTTACTTCATTTGTTTCATTTGTTTTCAGAGAAGTAGTTACTTATTTCTAGGATGACTCACAAGACACAGAACTGCGTTGCTTCTACCACATGTGCGGAAAAAACTACTCTATTGGAAAATTGTTTTTGTCCTGTTGTTAATCTTCTTATTCCGGTTTAAGTTTTCTGGGATTTCCCCAATTTCTTGAGAGTGTGGTGAGTCAGGATAGTTCCTGGTTTGTTAATATGACGTTTCGCCGTACTTACGTAGAGAACAGCGGCGCACTCAAGTACCGATGGCACATTCACAAATATAGTTTTTACTAATTTTCCACAGTAACGAAAGTCATTCAATGAATAGTAATAAATTCAATTGAATAGTAATAAATAACAATTGATTACCAAACAAAATTAAATTTGAAATTCAGCGCAAATGATTTTTTATAAGAAAATAGTAAGTCGGTTGGACACTTCACTTTTTGACATCTCCCAAAAAATTCTGATTGCACCACTGCGTTTAGAGAAATATTTTATTCCTAGCTACTTTCCTTCCTCATTGAAAGGACAGAAGCATTGTTCAATACATGAGAAACAAATAATAATTACACAAAAAAAGAACCTTTTGCACAGGAGATCTGTTTATTTCAACAAGTTTATTCGGGGGTCGGGGTGGAGATTATACCCTCCCCTAGATCCGTTTATGGGTTCCAAACTCGGCCAATATTTCAAACCATGAATAGAAAAGTAAGCAGTGGTACATTAAACTTTGAAATTACACCTTTTTTTAATTAGTCATCTGAACTTATCACTGTAATATTTTTGTTTTGCTCTCACAATATAAATTACTTCAGGTGGAAAATCCTCTGTCTTGTCGAAGTCCGTAGAGTTAGGTTACGCGAAAGGTGAAATTAGTACAATAGGAAAATTTATCTTCACTTGAAATACATTTTTAAATTTTGATTAAAATGTTATTTATTCACATAATTTAAACGCAAATAATCTAATAATTGCTTTCCTCATCTGTTGTTGATTAATTTCTTTTTTCTTACGCATGTTCTGATATATTGTTTACTTTAATTGATACATTAATCTTTAATGATATTTATTATAATAATTTGTAATTATCTTTTGTACTTTAATATCTTAATTAATATGAGTTTGGAACTGTTTACGTTAAATAAGTAAATTAAATCAAAATCTATCACTTTATGCTATACATATGGGCATTTAAAAAAAATAGTTATCAAAACTGTTTCAGATTTACCGATACATGCACCTGCTCCAGAGCTCCATATTGTTTATACTTTTGCTTTCCAAATCATTAATACATTATTAAAAATGATGCTTGATATAAATAATATCTCATCCAAGTATAGATTTTACACAATCTTGTGCACGACTCTACAATAAAACGAAGTTGTTAAAGCTCCTACGATAAATTACAAAACAGTTTATCCATTAGTACATGTGAAATTCTTAAAATTAGTGTATTCAAATTTTTGGACTAGAGAAAGGAAACTGTTCCATCTCGTATGCTAGCTAAGAAAAATATTGAATCCTATCGATATCACTTTGAAAACCTCTTTGTACGAAGCTTTCACTGTTGAACAACATTTGGACGAGTCTACGCTTCCAGAGCTCAAATTCTGTGGCCCATTCATATCGGGAGTGGGGGTGGAAGGGGTGTAGATGCCTTGAAAAACTCCTCAAAAAGTGATTTCCTAAATTCTTCCATTATATTCTAAAACAATGCAACAATGCATCTAAAAACAGTGCTAAGGAATATAGCTTGTCGAGAGGAATCAAAGGAGTCATTAATAAACTCTGCAAGTGCCGCAAAACACCTCAATGCTGCTTTTAGGCGCTTCTTCGATGGCGATTCAGCCCAGGTCGGGCTCGGACCTCGACAGTAATTCGTCTCCAACTTTCTTTGCTCTCCGCAGCTCTTCTCCATATTCTAATTCCCAGATGTTCCCTTGCATCTTGGATGATGCCATCCAGCGATCTCTTCCTGGGTCTTCCATCTGCTCTACCCCCAAACACTCTCTTTAAAAGTCTAAAACATTTGACCTCATATATTTTTGATAACAAAAGCCACTCCGAATTCGTGCTTTCCCTTAGTCTTTCCAATATACAAACTTCTATGATTTTTTAAATTCACCAATACCAATGCCCAATCATCTGGTTTCTTGTGTAGCCCCTATTTCCACTCTAAACGTATTAAGTTGACTGGCTAACTACTTTATTGCCCCCGTCCTATAAGCTTCTAGCATTCCATGTACCAATTCGTATGTATAATCCATGCTTTGTCGTCCTCTTTGACACATATTTCCGAGGCTTTTCTTGACGCTTCGGTTAGGAAGATTTTCGAGAACCTGGTTGTCAGCCATGTGTCCAACCCCCGTACTTGGATGACCAGGATTTGTGTAGGGTTTACTCCCCTAGAGAGGCTGGCTTCACCCCGCCTTACTGAGCTCTCTGCCCATGGTTTTCTGTCAGGGTTTTCCTTCCCTTAAAGACGGAAGAAAATACGTGGGTACAGTGAGAAATAGAGTTAGAGTAGAAGAGTAGAATAGAAACGACCCCCTAGCCCTCGCAACCTAATAGCGTCGGAGTCGGAAACATAGGAGTGGGCCGTTCCGAAGATTGGCCTAGAGGACAGAAAACAGAAATATGCCACAAGTAAGTGGAAGCAAAGACACTCAAAGTTAGAGAGGGAGTTTAGGGGAGTGACAGCCGACAGTTGCTCCGATTAGTCGCCTTCTACGACAGGGAGAGGTCCCGTGGTGCTATTCTACTAAAACTCCTACTAAAACTTTGTTCATAAAATTTCTCACAATTCGGATAATAATAGTCAGTTCCCCACAGATAGACCAAGACGCATCGAATGACATCTCATATGACTTCTAAGCGTTACTGACAGACGGATGGACACATAGAGGTTACCGGAATACTGTATTTAGGGATTAATCCTCAGTTTTCAGACTGAGTGCATTTGCTCCATCTAACCGGAACGCCTGTAGGGCTCGAAATTTTTGTATCGTAGCCACATAATCTTGAATGTCTACCTGTACAAAGTTAAGTCTCTAGAATAGAGTACTGTTTGAACGGTTCCAAAAGCTAAAAGGCATGACTGTGGCGCATTCACAGATGGAAAATAATCAAATACTACGACCTTGAGGCACGCCTCCCCGACTCAGCGTGTAGTTTGGCACGCACCCGCGCTACTCACCAGCTCGGTGACTTTGCAGGCGAAGCGGATCTTGCCCCAGAGGCCGAGAGCCATGGTGCATGCGTGTTGTTGCGTCGGGCGCCCATGTGGCGACTGCCGGCGCCGCAGGCGTCCGTCCTTTGCGTGAAGTGGGACGGGTTGGGCGGCGCGGGAGGGGTGTGGCGGCGCGGGCAGACGAGGGGCGAGGTGGGGCGG